CTTACATTGGAGTGAAAACAATAAAAAAAAAAAAAAAAAAAAATAGAGCACTTTCTTGTGCCAATATAAATGCATATATATATATATATATTTTTTTTTATAGGTTATTCTTTTCTAATTAGTGGTTCTAACAACCAGAAACCCCACAAGTTCATGATTATATTTTAATTTACCTTGTCTAGTTTTATTTGGATCTTTATCTAGTTTTGCAGATTTATTAATGCAGTACCACTTATTTGAGTTTTTATGTAACTTTCTAAGAAGAATATTTGGTGGGAGGGCAGTGAATGTTTTAACAACATAAGAACTCAATTAAGTGGCACTACTTTAACATTTTTTAATGATTACTACTCTGTAAGAAAGCCTACCAATATATATATATATATATATATGTAAGAAAAAGATAGCACATTAAAAAAAAGTTAAACACTAAGGTATAGCCATTATAAAACCTGATAAAGGAAAGAGTGTGGCTATCTTATATAAAATTTATTATGTTAATAGAATTAAAGAAACTGTAAATGTTAGTACTAAATTTCTGAAACAACTTAAAACTACAGAAGGTAAATTACAAAATATTTATTAAAATCAAAAAAAGGATAATTTATTGACTTGTTATGAATATTGTAAAATGAAACCTATTGGTTCTCATTATGGTATCATTTATGGAGTTCCTAAAGTCCAAAGAAGATAAGTGTGCTGTTAGACAGATGGGAATACAAGTAATCATGGACTAGTGTGGTTCTCAATTAAGTTTTGAGAACCACTAATTTGAAATATATATTATGTATTATCAAGATCTAGCATTTTATGATTTGTTTCTACGTAATTTTGTTTTTATAATGTTTCAAGTATGAGTGTGATGTGTATTTAACATTGACAGCTTAAAGACAGACAAGATTTTCATTTTGTGTGTGTGTTTAAGAGGTAGGTATAAAACATGATTCCTCAAGACAATATTTTAATTAAAATGCATTTCTGATGAACAGTTCAAATTACTTTTGAATCATATTTCTGTGTTTTTGTGGAACTAATTTTGAAAAACAAAACAAGTTAGAGGAAAATATGATCAGGGCATGTTCTTTATTTTATTGTTGCTTTTTATAAAATTAACTGTGTCAACTTGTACAAACTTGTGCCTGGTCTTATTTTTCACTTTTTATAATGTAGGGTAGCATTATGGAAAATGTGGCCTTTACACATACTTAACATGTGTGACTTTTCTCTTTTTATTTTCCAGGTAATACAATTTTTTTTTTAAATATTGTTGGAGTAATTCAGACATAACTTCAAATGAATGACCAGGAACTCCAGAAAATTTAATCTTATTTCTTAGCTCAACATTTTGTATACAGAACTTCATCAGGAAGAAGGTACTACTATGACTTTATGGTCATTCATTTAAAGTTAAATTTTTTTTATTTAGTGAAACAACTTCAACATTTGTATGTTTTACAAGTATGCATGTTGTCGGGGTTGTCAACTCTTTGAAAATTTTGAAGTATGACTTTTTGTAAGGGGCTATCTATAAAGGATGTTACACAAGTTTAGCCCTGTAGAACAGGGCAACAGTTTGTAGTTATCAAGCAATTAAGAAAATTTTGAATAGGTTCATGCGTAGAAAGGGTACTTTTGACACTGTCAAACATTGTTTGTTAATGAGAAAGAAACCTTGACATATGATTATTCAGAGTATTATTTAAAACTGAAAGTAAGTTTCTAATTCAGTGAATGTTTTTTTTTTGTAAACTAGCAATTTTCATGCTATATTTTGTTTTTTTTTACAGTAGTTATATTGTTAAATTAGTACATTTAATCATGGCAGAAATATGCTATAAAAATTACCAAAAATTATGCAGGTCTAACAGAAGTTAATTTAAAATGTCATAAATTGTAAGTTAATTTAAACGCTACTCCAACTTGTAATACTAGTAAAATTATTTGTGCAAATACATACTGGTCTGACTTTTTATTTTATTCTGGAAGTCCTGTAAATCTGAATTTCTTAGATAATTAGTCACTATAGTTGAACTAGATGAATGTATAGTATGTGTACCATTTCATATTGGTATTATCAAGTAATAGTCTGAACTATGGCTGTAACAATATTAATATATGTTTACTTTTATAAAATTATTAAAAATGCTCTTTCTACTGTTCATTCTGATTGTATTAGTGTCATGGTGTAATCTCAGAATTAAAAAACAAAATTGGATTAGAAGATTACAGTAGTTTTTGATATGCATTGTTTTTGCATATATAGCCATATTTTCTTTCACATTCTGGGTTTCAAATATATGTACATGAACTTATGATTATTGCATTATGTATTATCATTTGAATTGAAGAGTTTGATAATAAAGATCTTTTCACTGCATTTATTTTTCTCTTCATTTGTTACAATAAAATATGTTTCTGTGACAGTTTTTGTTGCAACCCTCTTTCCTTAGATAACGTTTGGGTTTTATATTTTTTTGACAGAGAATGCATATTCATTTTGCACAGTCTTTACATCCTTCATAATATGTAAAAACAGGTCTTTATGTTTGTATTTGTGGAAACTTTGGTATGACAAAACATCCTATTTGAGTATTGCCACAGGTATTTCCTTACAAGTTTTTATTGTTCAAATTGTGTGTTTTTGTTCTCTTTGCCAACATTATTGAATGGTACTAAATTGTTTTCATTAGTTCTCTACAAAATGTAATAGTTATCTAAATCCAAGCATCCACAGATAAAGGTGTTTTGTATATATTATTTATAGTATTCTCTCACACTATCAGTATTATCAACTGAACTTTATTGTACTGAAAGTGATAAGTAATAATGAATTTGTTTTATGATACTGAATTTTAGCAACAACAGTACCTGCACTATCATTGTATTTCTTTTTTTATACTATTCACAGTTATTCATCTACATTTGATGTTCACAGTGTTGATTTGGTTGAAATGTGCATCTGAAAGACTTGATTATCTAATCTGTTTTGATTGCATTACTGTGAGTTGTAGTTGTATATTATTCTAGCTGAAAGAAACCAAGTGCAATATCTCCAGGAGATGTGTAACTTTTTAAGTTCTCCCAAAACACCCCTAAAATAAAACAAATTCTGGTCATTTTGTGATGTTGACTTTGACCTTGCTGGAAATATCTGGTGATTACATTGGTTTAGATGGAGTAGGAAATCATTTACAAAAGATTGATATTTTTAGATAGAAAAATTTCAGAAAATCACCAAGTGTTACATTAAGACATAATCATCTACATCTCCAAACAGATGGTAACTAATCTGTCTTATCAGGTAAGGAAAAATAATTATGGTCTTTATACAGTAAATGTATTTTAATAATCTTATCTATTACCAACAATTACTTTGTTTCAAAATATCTTTATTGTTTGTTTTTTTTTACAAGTGTCAGCCATTTGTTGAACTGAATGGTTTTCTTAATTTTTCTTAGTATATTTTTCAAAATATCCTTAAATAGCACCTCAAAAATTATTTTTTTTTTCCGGCTGGAAAACATGTCAAAGGAGTACCTTGCATACAATGTAAAGAGGTACAAGTATGATATTAAGTTGCACAGGTGATTTTTAGTTAAAATATTTGTTCAAAAGCACCTCCACTTATGTAAGGAGTAGAATTTATATATTTGATGCAATGGCACACAAGTGAATGGAAGAAGCACAGTAGTGTTTTTAAATGAAATTTGACAATCCATTCTAAATATATATATATATTATTAAATTAGGATTCACTTTCCCATAGTTCTGTGTAATGTGTTAATACATTATCAATTATTAACTGTATCCTTTAATTTTAATTTAATAACTTTAAATATATTATCAACTATACTTAATTTTGGGTCACCCTCTATTTTTATTTTCTCATTGTGTGTTTGTTTTTCATTTCTGATGAAGGGGAAATTTGGTGATCAAATCTCATTGAAGGAAGGTCGGGGCTCAAAGAGGGTTTTTACAAAACTCCAACCTGTCATTTTTTGAGGGGTAAGTCCACTAGTTTTTTTTTATAAGCCATGTTAAAATAAGTTACCAGGAGACAACTTTTTTAGGGATAGATCTTGCTTCTTTATGTAAAAAGAGATTGACAAAAATATAAGACTGCTTTTCCATAAAAGTGAGAAGTGTGAAAAATCTTAAGCACATGAACATTGATGGATAAGGCAAAATATTCAGTTGCATGGCTTGCCAATGAAAAGGTAAATAATACATCTAATGTTGAATGCTTGAAAGTTTCAGTAAGATAAATATGTGAAAATAGATTTAAATGAAACGGCAGCAGTTTTGAAATTGGTTTAAAACTTTTACATGTGCATTTATAAACAATAAACTTGTAAATAAAACATTTTGAAGCATGTAACTGAAACTGAATAGTAAAATCCTACAGCTCAGGACACTAAGGGTTTGAACAGTTATTGTGTCATCTTCAGTATATTTATCAGTGTTGCGAGATATCTACAGTGTTTATAGACCAAAGTTACCTTGAAACTAGCCAAATGTTTCTTAATTGAAACCATGCTTGATATAAACAAAAAGCAATTGAAAGCTTTCTTAAGAAAAGACACCCAGAGTGAACTTGAAGAAAAAAAAACTACAGAATCTCAGCACCAGTTTATCCACATGGCATTATTAGCAACAAATTTTTATGGAAGCTCTGAAGACACAATGAGTTTCATATTCCTTTCATACCATTAACCAGATTATAATGTGATTCATTTACTGAAATTCTAATGCTGGCATACCCTAAACAGTTAGAAAAAAGGAAAACCATAACACCAAAAATTAATGAGGTGCCAGTTCATGAGGCTTGTTCATCATTCTCTTGTTACCAGAGAATTTTTATCTTAATGTTTCTATAGTGAGCAGCCTGAAAGTTTATATCGCTGATATTTCTTTACATTTGAATAGTTATGTGGCTGTGTTATTTAGCTTTGATTATAATATCTAGTTCAAAGATCCATGAGACCTGTTCAAAATAGTCCAAAAAAGTAGCTGCTACCCATGATTCCTGAAAACACACACACAAATGTATAGTATATGTGCAAGCATGTGTATGTGTATATATATATATATATATATATGTATGTATACAATTTTCAAATAAACTGTATTACATCAAAAGCTTACAGGTGATCACTTAGCACTGTATAGCTCTGACGAAATTATAATATAACCTACAATTTATTTATTGCACATGTAGATGTATGCACCAACAAGTAAGTGAACACACCAAAAACGTTCTAATATAACAATATAAAACTATACCATTTAAACAAAAGTACAAAAGGTATTATTTTAAAGTGAAAATGTCTGCAGTTATAGCTCCCAAAAGCATTGGGGATATTCTGTCTATCAGACTTAATCAAAACAATAGATGCAGAGCTAGTCAGCATGTAACCAAAAAAATGGGGGATTAGGATCTGGGTGCTAAAACTCACAACGTCCCATATCCCACTATCACTCACCATCTATAGCCAGTTGTGGGTATGATAGTTATCCCTAAAAAAGCCCATAAAAATAGAAATAAGATATTAAACCACCCTTAATTTCTATCATAGATCATCCAATCTTGTCCTTAGTATATTTACTCCGATATTAAATTATGAAATATACAACCTCACTGTACATTTCAAGTAATAATAATATTGACACTTTACCACTGCAAGATATTAATAACTATTCAATACAGTATAAGCAGTAATACTTCAGATAATATTTCAGTTAACGTTTTTATTATTATCTATAAAAAGGTTGGATGATCTATGATTAAAAGTAAGTGTGGTTTGTTACGTATTACAATTTCTAATAGCCTAAAACTGAATTACATTGTAATTTTGATTTAGTAGTTAAATAAATACCAACATATAGTCAGTTTATGATATTTGCCAACAAGATTGATACACACAGTTTTCTTTCTTTTTAATACAAATATATTTGAATATATAAACAATAATACAATTTACAATACAGTTATTACAAATAGTTATTACACACAATGATTTATATATAAAAAATTTTACAAACTTACAAGCAATATAAAGTCCTCTTTCTATTCTGGAACTTCCTTGATATCTTATCGAGGGTTCACGATGAACAAGTTAATTACGAGTTGATGTAGGTACGATTTGCTTATTGGGGAGCTTGATAGCTTTGTCTTTCATTATTCACCAGTTGCACACGCTAAGTTTTCACCATGAAGTTATATAAGGTTTCGTAAAAATACTAATGTCTGATGAACATCCACTGAAGTTAAATGATTGATAAGCATTATAACAATCACATTTATAGATTCTGAAGTTTATAGCACACTGACTATAGCAAACTAATAATAGATACTCTTTTTTTGGGGCATCATGTTGGCTATATTTATAGGCGTGTGAAGAGTTTCTAGAATTTTCAGCTTTACGTAACAATACTGACGCTAACACTGGCGTTTACGTACACACACACACATATATTGTTGATTCTTATACTCGAGAATCTTCTACAACCTTAGAGAATAGGCAGGAGTTTCACAAAACATATTTAACATTATATAAATTTAATCTAAAGAAAAGTTTATATTAAAATAAATATATGATAACAAATCCATCACAGGTTTAATATCTTATTTCTATTTTTATGGTTATTTTAGGGATAACTATCATACCCACAACCGGCTATAGATGGTGAGTAATAGTGGGATCTGGGACGTTCTGATTCTAGCGCACCCAGATCCCAATCCTCTTTTTTTTTTTGGTTACATGCTGATTAGCTCTGTATCTGTTGTTTTGATTATGTCTTATAGACGGAATATTCCCAATACTTTTGGGAGCTATAACTGCAGACATTTTCACTTTAAAATGATACCTTTTGTACAAATGGTATAATTTTATATTGTTATATTAGAACTTTGTTGGCTCGTTCACTTATTTGTTGGCGTGTGCATCTACATGTACAATAAATAAATTGTAGGTTATATTATATGTATACATATATTAGCGAATATTGTTTTCTTTCTTTTTTAATGTACTTGTGTTTATGTATGATGAAAACAATTTACTTTGAAAAAATCTGTAAATTCTGATATATCTTACCTCTACTCACAGAATAGCTGTTACTGAGTTGTACTGCCCTCTATATGCAAAATCTTTCGTTCCTCACTAGCCATGATACTCCCACCTATCGTCATATGTTTTCACATAAGGCAGCTACTGTATTTTTCGGAATATAAGCCGCACCCTTATTTTGAAAACAAAG